TTGTCATTGGAACAGAGCTAGAGAGTGTGGTAGAGGAGGTTAAAAAGTTTCCCCACCAGTATTACTCAACTCTGGTCTGTTTGAGGAAGCCCTGGGGATACTTACCCAGTCAATGAGCATGATAAAAAGTAAGCAATACAATGGTTTTCTGATCATAAGTTAGAAGAAAATTGAATTGTGGAAATCACCATCTGTTACCTTCTATGCACAGCCTGGCTGAGGGGGAGCTTCATTGTCAATGGCCGAGTGGATCCCTATAATCCTCCAGTGCAGGAGAGAAGGTTTCTAATAGCAATACTTCTACCACCACATCACCCCCTTCCCACTGTGTGTGGAAGACAGATTTGCAAGGGCCACCAAGATAGTGTATCAGCTGGACAGAATGGGAAGTTTAAAGGGTTGTAGCCCTCCTCTGTAAAGAAATTCATTAACCATGATATCTGCCCACAGATGGTAGATAAAGCTAGAAAAGCTAGTTGAAAGAGCTATCACCCTCCTCTGCAAGAGAATGGCTAACTAGAACAAGCATGACAATTATTAGACATTAGGAAATACCTAATATTACATAGTTAGATAACTGAAGACAAAATAAAGGTAAGATATGATACCTATTATGGAGCAGCTAAGATACAAGACCTCACAGGGAAGAGGTGAGATTCAGTATCTGGTAGGGAGAAGATGCCTAGAACCAAAAATGCCTGGCAGGGAGCAGGCCCTTTAGAGAGAAGTAAGATGCCATTTTCAGAAGACATAAAGCTTGTCTTATCCCAAAAAATTTTAATAAAATAAAATTTTTTAAAAAAAGACATTGGGTAGCCCTGCTTGATGGAAGTATTAGTTTCTTCTGTCATTATGCCCTGATCACATGTGTTCCTTGTATATGTACCCTTCCCCATGGGTGCCCTGATGGAGGAATGTACTGAAGTGGAAAATTTCAGGAAACCCAATCAGTGGGCTACAGCAATACCCAAAATGTGAGGCTAGAAGGAAAGAAACTAGACCTGCAATTTCATTGGCATGTGAGGAATACAACATGTAAACAGTTAAATATATACATGAGTTTTTGAGAAGGGAGAGACTTTCCATTATAGAGATTAGGAAAAAGGCTCCCCCTATAAAGTGGCATTGCGCATTTAGCCTTGAAGAAAGCCAGTAATTCTTAAGAAGCAAAGAAGAGGAGGGATGGCATTCCAGGCATAGAGGACAGCCTGGGCAAAAATATGAAGGTAGGAGATGGAATGTTAAGTTGGAAATACAACAAGGCGATCATTTTGACTGGAACATGAAAAAGAACAGTGTGATATTTCTGAAAATGCAAACTAGAGTCAGATTATGGTAGGATTTCGACACCAAACTAAGGAGTTTGTATTTTATACTATAGGCAACAGGTAAGCACTAAAAGTTCTTGGGCAAGGGTCATGCACAGGCTAGAGCTTTAGGAAGATTATTTGGCAGTTGTGTGTAAGATAATTTGGAGAAGATAAAAAACTAGAAAGCTAATAGTTCAGCTGGAAAGCTGTTTCAATGGTGTAAGTGAGAGCTGTAAGAACCTGAATTTAGAGAATTAATTGAAAGTTCAGCAATGTTGGTGGATCTATAAAAACACTCATTTGGGAATACACTTCACTGATGCAGACTCCAACTTCTCCATGCTTCTTTGTCTTGTGTAATTCTTGTCCCGTCCTGACCTTAAAAGCCATTGATCTCACTGATATGGGTCCTCCTTGCAATGATTTAGCTCACAACGCATCCATGCCCCTTTAAAGCTTATGCAGCTTATGTCCATATCCTCCTGGCAATCCTTCACGGAGGTCCACATGCCTGCTAGCGTCCTTCCTCTATGGACGTAGATGACAGTAGATCACATGGCCTGTGCATTAGTTATTCTTCACTCTTACCACGTGACAGACTTGCCATCTTTTCCAGTCATATGTCTATGATGGGATCCTTTATCCCGCTTCTCTTGCTCAATTCTTCATTCGTAATGCATTGTATAGCCTATTCACACCTATCATGAGCCTCTCCTTTGTACTTCGGGTAACTTTAAATTTTTTCAGAGAGTATTGTATTCCATAATTCATACTCATATAGCATAACTGGAAGAGTATTGTTTAAAAAATGAGTCTTTCAGGGGCAGCTAGGTGGCGCAGTGGATAGAGCACCAGCCCTGAAGTCAGGACGACCTGAGTTCAAATCCAGCCTCAGATCAAACACTTGACACTTACTAGGTGTGTGACCTTGGCAAGTCACTTATCCCAGTTGGGAGTCTTTCAGACTTCTGGGAGCCGAGAGTAAGCAGAATACGATCCCATAGCAGGTCTTGAACTTAGGATAGTCATCCTTCAGAGGACCTGCCCTGAAATTTAGAAAGTAGCCCAAGGATCATTATATCAGAAATATTAAAAGGAAGATATAATAATCTACTTAATGAACCAAAGAGCAATTTTGGACTTCTCTAAATGTGCAACTAACAAACTTCCATTTATCATCGCCATTATTGTCATTTGTATTATGGATACTTATACTAGCACTAACTGTAGTAATACAATAATGAAAGGAATACTAATAATAAAAATAATAAAAGTCCATTCTTACAAAGCAAAAAAAGTGAGTGTTTTGGGGGAAAGCTTGGAGTCACTTAAAGCACTGTAAAATTTCCTGAAAGCAATCCTTGCTACTTTCTTCTTTCTGTTATTTTTGGGCCTATATGGAGGCTAAGATATAAGTATTATAGGACCAGTTGTGTGGGTTCAACTGTTCAACAATTTGAACCAATATTCAACCATCCAACTACATACCAGAATCTATAAAACATTAATTTTTATCCATCTAGTTTTCCCCAAACTTTTGAATAATTCTGGATTCCATTTAAGAAATTCTCCAAGGCCTTTAAGAAATAAGCACAAAGGAACAAGCGGTTTACAAATAGGAGCATCTAAAAAATGTTCCCACTTCTATGGAGTCCCCCATAAATTTGGATGTCACACAAGACACCCTCCACAAAATGGCAAGCATATTTTTCAACCACATGTTCCCCTGTAATTAATTAGTTAATTAAGGTTAATGATAAGAGGTTCATACTTCCCCTTTGCCTCCTACTTCTTCCCAAACACACACAAAATTTTGTATCTGTGTAAATATTTTTAAAAATTCTTTATAACAAATACACATAGTTAAGCAAAAAATTCCTACATTGATTGTGTCTGAAAATGTGTATCTTCTTCTACAACTTGAGTTCTTCACCTCTGTGTCAGGTGATAGATATCAGACTTCATAGTGAGTTCTCTGGAATCCTGGTTGGTCATTGCACTGATCAGAATTCTTGAATCTTTCAAAGTTCTTTGTCTTTATGTGTTATTGCCATTACAGTATAAATAGCCCTGCTGGTTTTGTTCACTTTGGTCTGCATCAGTTCATGCAATTCTTCCCCATCTCTTACAGAATTTCTTACATTGCAAAAAATAATTTTATTACATTTGTATAGTAGTTAACATTTATATAGTTGCTTTAAGACTTGAAGAACACATATTGCATGTGTTCTCTCATAATCTGTGGATCTATTCTTTAATTGATGAGCACCCACTTGGTTTCCAACTCTTTGTCACTGCAAAAGAATTGCCATAAGTATTTATGTACATATTGGTCTTGGGAACAAATCTAATAGTGGTAGTATTCAGTGTGGGTGAGTGATAAAGGGTTGGTTTGGTAACATCTTGGCCATAGTTCCCAATTACTTTCTAGAAGGGCTGGACCAATAATTCACAGCTCATCCAAATCAATGTACCTTTTCCCTCTTCATATTCATTCCAACAATTACCATTTTCTGTTTTGTCACCTTTGTCCATTTGATAGTGGAATGGAACCTCAGAATTGCTTTAATTTTTCTTTTCTCTAGCTATTAAAGATTCTGAGCATTTTCAAAAGTATAATTGTTGATCACATGGATTTCTCCCTCTGAAAAAATGCCTATTCATATATGTTGACCATTTTAGCTATGGGAAATGGTTTTTGTTCCTATACATTTGAATCAGTACATTACATATCTTGGATTGCCATTTATTGATATATGGTCAATCAACAAACACTTATTTATCAAGAACTTAGTATATATCAAGTATTGTGCTGAGCACTGGGGACATGAAGACAAAAATGAGATAGTTTTTACCCTTAAGGAGCTTACATTTTATTAATTAAATAATATGTTCTAATAACAATAATAATAATAGCTAAGATTTATATAGCACAAACATTTGCAAATATTATCTTCCTTTATCCTTCCAATACCCCCTGGGAGGCAGGTGCTATTATCCCCATTTTACAGGTGAGAAAATTGAGGCAAACAGGTTAAATGACTTGCCCAGGGTCACACCTCTAGTAAGTGTCTAAGATCAGACATGAACTCAGGTCTTTTTTACTCCCAGAAGTACATATGCAAAATAAACAAAAGGTAATGGGGTATGGGAGGAGCTAATGGCTGGGGATATCAGAAAAGGTCTCCCATTGAAGATGGTGTTTGAACTGAATTTTGAAGGGAAAGGGGCAATTCTGAGACACAGAGGTGAGGAAGAAATGCATTCTAGACATATGGTTCAGCAGAAGATGCTAGATAGAGTGTTCTATATGCAGCAAGATGGCTAGAAGGGAAGTAATAGATAACAAAGTTAAAAAGTAGGTTGTGATGGGCTTTAAAAGCCAAAAAGCATTAGATCCTAAAGGCAATGAGGAAGCATTGGATCTTATTAAGTAGGATAATAACAGGAGTAGTCCTACATTTTAGAAAAAGCACTTTAGCAGCTCAGTGGAAGGTTTATTGGAATGGGGAAAAACTTGAAGCAGGGAGACTAATTAGAAGGCTATTGTGATGGTAAAGGTAAGAGATGATGAGGTAAGAGTGATGGCCCTCTAAGTAGTAAGAAGAGGAATTTTAAAAATACCAAAAAAACATTTTGATTACTGAAGGAATTTGATTCTACAATGCCTTTTCCTCCCCTTTTCTCCAGGAATGTATACAAAGACTATCGATTTCTTGAGTTGGCATGTGACTCCCAAGAAGATGTAGATAGCTGGAAGGCATCTCTGCTCCGAGCTGGTGTATATCCTGACAAATCTTTAGTAAGTTGAATGTGTCTGATTTTGTTAACTGTATTTAAGAAAAATACGCCATTTACCTGATGAAATATATCTTTCTGAATGCCTTTATTGTCCAGCAAAGCTTTATGCTACTTAAACTTAAGATAGATCTTCTTTACTGTTGGATTCTTTGGTTTGGAATTTAATCTTTAAACCTGCTAAATAAATTCACTTTACCATAGTGTCATACCAAGAGAAAAGTTTTTTTGAATTTCCAAGAAACCTGTTTATCTTGTGAACAGCACATACTTATACATGCCTGAATTATTATGTCTATGGCATAGATGCAAGTAGGCCTACAGCCATAGAAAGCATTAACAACATAAATGATTTTGTATATCATTTAATGTAATAAATAATTTTATATAATTTTAATGGAAAACTATAACTGATATGCAGTTCTGTGGTTTCTGCTTTGTATAATACAGTCAAATATTATGTAACCTATATAAATGCTTGGACTGAAGTTCCTATTTTTGTTGATTCAACTATTATCCTCTCACCCAGGTTTAAACCCTCAGCATCATCTTTGATGGCTCCCTCATTCCCCACATCTAATAATTTGACACATTCTTGTCATTCCACCTCTTCAGTCTCTCACACCTCTCTGCTTGACTCTGCTCACACTGCCACAGTTCTAGTTAAGACCTTCATCACCTCTTTCCTGGACTATTATAATAGCCACCTAATTGGTTACCTTACCTCCAGGCTCTCTCTTCTCCAATCGATATGCCATAAAATTGTAAAAACAATCTTCCTTCCTTGTTCCCAACTGGAATAAAATATAAATAACTCAGCTTGGCATGTCAAGCTGTTTACATTCTTACCCTGACCTACCTATTTCACATGAATTGCTTTCGTTCATTCTACTTACCCATCAAGCTAGACTATTATCTGTTCATTAATTTAGGCCATCTCCCTTCTCCATTCATTTGCTCCAGGTTGTCTCTGCATGCCTAGAATATTTTTCTGCTGTCATCTCCACCTTTCAGAATCTTTATCTTTCTTCAAGACTCAGCTCAGGTGCTACTTTCATCATGTATCTTTCCCTAATCCTCTCAAATGAAAATGCTATCTTCCTCCTTAAATATTCTTATTGCCTAAATCTCTTCTTTGTCCTCATCATTCTTTATTTTTGCAATCAATAACTATTGATTAAAGACTTATGATCTACTAATTATATTAATGCTATATTTCCCATACCTTGCCTCTAGTAGAAGTATAAAGCCCTTGAGGGCAGGGAGTATTTAGCATTATAAGTGCTTAACACAGTACTTGGCACATAATAGACTCAAATTTGCCAAATTGAAATTCAAATGCCAAACGCTGAATTGAATATATCCTAAGGATGGGATTTGGGAGACCTAGACTGTTTCCAGTGCCTCTGATTTGCTTTGGGCCCTTCCAGTTGACTTCTCAGAGTGACAAAGTTATTTTCTTAGCAGTCACTTAATATTATTGAACAGTAGGAGTTTCCCACTATATAAGAAAACTGGGTTTGAATTTGGATGAAGTGAAATATTCTTTCCATAACTCCTTAATAGAATAGTGACCAATCATTTAAAAACATAGGCCTTGTTAAAATAATAAAGGAAAAAAGGTTTACACTACTAGGTAGAAATTTGGCATTTTAACATACATTCAAAGTGAAAATCATTTTTGATAATAGTCATTTTTGTCAGGGATATTGACATATAATGAAAGTCTACATTTTAATCATTTTAGTTCCAATTGAATAAATTAAAAAGACTATTTTACATATTCATACAGGTAATGTCTTTTCCCACAACATATGAATGCAAATACATAAGCATGCAGTATATAAATATATGTTTGGCTAGGTGTCTATGTTACAAAAATGAAGAGAAATTTCTGACATAGTCCTGTTGGATTAGAAAGATGCTTTTGAAATTATACATAAATATTAGTTATCTACCTATGAAGTATCAATTCCCCCAAGTTTAATAGTTTTCCTTTCCTAGAAAGTCTTTCACTAGATTCATTGGTACTTTTAACAAGTGATGAAACTTTGCACAGTGTATTGGGTAAAGATTGCCAAAGACATTAGAGGAAATCCTAGGGAAGACATCAAAACTAACAGAGCAGCTTTGGAAGCTTTGCTAACCTTAAGCATGAATAGGTAAAATTTCAGAAATAGGGGGAATTAATAGACCTGAGATTCTATCTCAGAATGATTCTGTCTCTTATTTGTTTGCTCTTCTTTACCACTGCTCTAGGTGGTGTAGTGGAAAGAACTCTGGGCATGGAGTCCAGAGACCTGGATTTGTATCCCAGTACTTACAGTTACTAGCTGTGTGACCACAGACAAGTTGTTTCACCCCTATGAATCTCAGTTTTCACATCTGAAAAACAGGAACAATGATGATTTTTACTACCAACACCAAAAGGTTGTGGTGAGAAAAAGCTATGTAAATGTGGTGTTATTATCTGTTACAGAAACTCATCATTAAATTAAAACTGCTCTCAAAAGTTATTAATGATCTGGTGATTCTTTAGAAATCTAATAGTCTTGGGGGCAGCTAGGTGGCGTAGTGTATAGAACACTGGCCCTGAAGTCAGGGAGACCTGAGTTGAAATCTGGCCTCAGACACATAATACTTACTAGCTGTGTGACTCTAGGCAAGTCACAACCCCAAATGCCTCACCAAAAAAAAAAAAACAAAAAAAATCTAATGGTCTTTTCTCAGTTCTTATCCTTCTTGAATTCTCTGCTGCCTTTGATGCTATTATTATCACCTCTTCTCCTTGATACTCTCTTCTCTTTGGGTTTTTGGAACACTCCTCTCTCCTGGTTCTTCTTTTATCTGTCTAAGCATTTCTTCTCTGTCTCTTCTGTTGGATCATCATCCATGTCATGACCTCTAAGTGTGGGTATGACTCAAGGTTCTGTCCTGGACTCTCTTTTTTTCTCCCTATTATTTCACTCAGTAATCTCATCAGTTCCCATGGTCCAATTATCAGCTCTATGCAGATGACTCTTAGACCTACTTACCCAGTCTTAGCATCTTTCTTGACTTCCAGTCTCCCATCTCCAACTACTTATTAGATATCATATACCGGATGTTCCATAGACATCTTCAACTTAACATGTCCAAAACTGAGCTCATTATCTTGTCCCCCAAACCTCTTCCTAAGTTTCCTTTAACTGCTAAGTTCCCTATAACTGCCGTCTTCCCAGCCACTTGGGCTTGCAACCTCGGTGTCATTGTTGATTCGTCCCACATATACAATCAGTTGTCGTCTTTTTGTAACATCTTTTGTGTATGAACCCCTTCTCTCTCATGACACTGAAACTACGCTGGATAAGGCCTTCATCGCCTCATGCCTAGACTATTGTAATAGCTTGCTAGTTGGTCCCCTTGCCTCAAGTCTCTCTCCTTTCCAAAGAACTTGTTGTTCCTTGCACGTAACAGTCCATCTCCCAAATCTGAGAATTTCGCCTGACTGTCTTCCACGCCTGAAACACTTTGCTTTCTCACCTCCACCTTCTAGCTGCCCTAGCATCTTTCAAGTCTCAACTAAAGGTTCACATTCTACAAGATGTCTTTCTCGGTCTTACTTAATTTTTGTGTCTTCCCTCCGAGACTATCCTAGGTGATCCTATATACATATATATATATCTATATAGATATATATATAGATGGATATATATACATACACACATACACACATATATGTATGTATGTGTGTGTGTATAAATTTATATCTATATCTATCTATACATATACATATATATATATATATATATATATATCTTGTTTGTATATAACTGTTTGCTTGTTGTCCTCCCTCATTGGAATATGAGCTCTTTGACAGTAGCTTTTTAAAAATTTTGTTTTACCTTTCTTTTGATTTCCAGCACCTAGCACAGTGCCTGGAAAGTAGTAGGTACTTAATAAATGATAGTTGGCTGAATGATTCTTGAAGACCAGTGACTAGGTTCTAGAGAAGTGGTTGCCTGCTTCAGCAGGTGGAATATCCACGTTGATGAAATCTCAGATACCCAAAATTTTGAAGATTTTTTGTTATTATTATCTCTTTTCAGTTATAAATTCTATGCTCCCATGATCCTAATCCTTCAGATATGGATTCCAATCATATTTATGACTCTAGGTTATATGGTCATACAGAACAAGTAATGTGTCAGAAATACTATAGATAGAAAGTTTCTATTTGATGTTAGGTGATTTCTACACCACATTGCAATACCTGCTAAAGATGTAAAATTGCTATTGACTTTAATTGATTAATTAAAAAGTCTTTAGAATCCAAGAGGTAGTAAAATAGTAAAGCTTCTCTCTAAGCTGTAGCGACTGTATATTCTTACTGTAAGAAAAGTAAGTGTACTTTTAATGTTACCAAAGGAATATCCTCAAATCACTTGTCCCAATTCTTGATTTGAAGAATTAAATCATCGTAGCTATTGTACTGCTCTCAGGAGCCACTTTGTTATAATGCTTACCTTCTGAAGTGCCTTGTTGGTGAGTTGCTTTTATATTTCAGGAAGGAGGTAGAAAAGGGAACAAGCATTTATTCAGCCCCTACTAGATGTAGGACTGTGCTAAGTGCTTTACAAATTGTAACATTCTTCGAATAGGACCACCGTGTACCAAATTCCTTACAAAAACAAGTAGTGAAATAGCAATTTCCCATTAAGGAGGGGGGAAAGGAATGGACAATCTATAAATATTAATTGATATAATATTAATATAGTGTTTATCTCTGTCCATTTAGTAGATACTACATTCACATGACAAGACTAATAGAGCATGCTTTCTGCATAAGCTCACCAGAATGTAAACACCCTCTTTCTTTTCAGTTTAGCTAGCACTGCTTCAAACAAAATTTAAACAACATCTTATACCCAACTGGCCAATTCAGCTCTGTCTTAATGGCATTTTTTTAAAAATGAAATCAGTGTCAGAGATGTAAACTTAAACTGTTGACACTATAAAAAAGGG